TATTTTTGAATTCCTATCATTATTATGGAATATATATACTGGATATTCTCTTGATCAGATTTATAATATGAATGAAACTGGACTTTTTCATTAGTAGATTTTTTTAATTATTTTTTAATTATTTTTTTTATTAATTTTAAATTATATTGCAGATTGGAACTGGATTAAATCTTAGTAATATAACATCTTGCTGAATATAAAAAAAATAAGAAGCATCTCTCTATATTATTATATATAAATACTGATAGATCTCACAAATTGAATCCTCTTATAATTGACAAATATGTTAACTTATAGTATTTTAAAAATATAAATCTTAAGAATTTGTCCATGATATATTGAAATAATACCAAAACTTGGATGCTTATAGTTCTTTTTCAAGAATAACTTCATGAATTTGATTTTTAAATCTTATAAAAGCATAATGATCAGTATATTTTTTTACTTCTTGATAATTATTCTAGTTATATTATAATAAGTTTAATTTTTCAATATATAAATATTCATTTTTTTTTCTAAATATGACTTCAAGAATATAACCTATAGATATAAGAATAATAATGACTTTTAAAAAAGTCTATCATCATTTTCATCTCCAGTTAGTATTTTTTTTTATTTATTTATATTATCATTTTATTATAGTATTGAACAAATAGATTATTAACTTTTAAGTAAGTGAATTATTAGATATATAGTATTGAATGAATAAGATTAAAGTTATTATTAAGACTAATATAATGATTATCTAAGGGATCTTTTGAATGGAAGGTGATATATATATAATTTATTATTAATAATTGAGATCAAAATAAGAAAATCTATTAATTATTAATATTTTTTGTGAAAAATAACTATTTGTAATTTATTAATATATCCAGATCTTTAGCTATTTATAATTATTAATATTTATTTTAATATTTTTTTTAATTTCTAGATAAATATTAGAGCAAGTTGAAGTAGGTAATCTTATATAAAATTTAAAAATGAATGTTCTTCAAGCAATTTAGTATATCATCAAGGCTTAGAAAGAAGTTTTAACTAAAATTATATATAATTATTGATATTATATAAGAATTCTTCTGATTAGTACTAATACAGATATTTGTAATTTTTCAGATAATATTTATAGAACTGACAATTCAATATTTAATAAACTTATTAGTATACTTGATATACTTTATTTCCTTAATACAATGAATATCAATGAGTTTCTTACTATTAATAACAAGAATCTTGTTTATAAAATTCCTTTGAATAATCAGTTTATTAGAAAGCTCACATATATATTCAAAAAGAATAAAAGTATGAAAAAGAATATTAAAATAATAGATAAAGAGAAGAATAATAGCATCAAAACTATAATTATTAGTGATAGTTTAGCATTAAAAAATTTGAAATATGTTTAAATATTTTTACTTCAACAAGAGAATTCAAATAAATAATTAAAATTAATCAATATTCTTGAAAAATTTATTAGAGAAAAAATAATTAGTTTAGCTTATCAGACTCATATAAATGAGTATCTTAAATAAAGAAAATTGGCTTTATTATTCATTATAAATCATGATATCACTAAATTATTTATCAGACTGATCAGTATTAATTAAAATCACAATTTAATTGGTTGATTATTATAATTTTCTTTAAATACTTATCCTCTTTAAATATATATTTATAATTTGTTCTCAGAGGGGTGCACTTAGAGAGATTTGATTGTATATAAATAATTATTATATATTAAATTAATTAGATTTTACATATTATTATATAAATAATTATTATATTTTAAATTTAGATTAATAATATTTTAATTAAATATATTTATAATTATTTCTTATTATTTTAATTTATTCTTTTTATTATTTATTTATATTATTATTTATTATATTTATAATTATTATTAGTTTATTAAATTATAATTAATTACTTTTTAGAGATATGAATTAAGATAATTAATTTTTTTAATCATATATATTTTATTTAATTAATTATTATTAATTATTTATATTTTATATTTATTTTTTTTCTATAAATATATTCTTTCTATTCTGTAATTTTATTTTAAATCTGAATATTATTTAAATAATAAAAATTATAAGTTTTATAAATTCTATTCACTTTATAGTTTATTTTATTTATAACTATTAATAAATAATCTTATATTTTATAATAAAATTATTAATTTATATTATAATAAAATTATTAATTTGCAAAATCTTAAATTGATATAATTATTTTTTTAATAATTTATATTATATTTTTATATTTTTAATAATATATAATTTATAATAATATTAAGATATTAATCTATTAGATATAGCTTTTAAAAATAAATAGTATATATAATAATAAATAATTCATTTTTATAAATTAAATAATAATATTTTGCTAATATTAATTTATATAATTTATAAATAATAAATTAATTATCTTTTTATAATTTTAATTAAATATAATACTAATAATAAATCTGATATATTAATTATAATAGTAAAGAATAATTTTGAATTTAATAAAATTAGTATTAATATAATTATTAAATATTATTTTAGATAATTAAATATCTTTTATTTTAATTTATATTTTTTATCTTTATATAATATAATAAGTAATAAAATAATTATAGAGAAATCTTTTATAAATTTCTATAATAACTAGTAAAATCCAAGAATAAATAAAGTTTAAAACTATTAATTAATTATAATTAGTTATATATTATAATAATTTTTTATTAATTTATTAAGATTTTTTTATTTGAGATAAAATAATCTAAATATTTAATATATTATTATTTATTTTTATATTTATATTATAATAAATATTTTTTAAAGATATTATTAAATAAGTATATATATATATATATTAATAATTCATATATTTTTAATTTATTATTTAAAATCACTTTATTTTATTTTATAATTTCTTAACTTTATTTTAATATTAATAAAATAAAATATAAAATTTATATAATTAAATTAAAATTTATTCATTTTTAACTTGATTTTTATATAATTTCTTGTTAAATATATATATATAACTAGAAAATTATATATAAGTTATATCAAGATAGATTTTAGTAATATTAATATTATAATTTTTAATTTTTTTTAATAATAGAGTAATATAACTAATAATTATAACTGCTAAATTTTTATATTTAATATTAATAAAAGTTTTAACTTATATATTTATTAAGTAATTTATATTTAAATTTAATATGATTATTATTATATAAAGTAATTTTTAGTATATTATGAATTTTCAAAAATAAATATATTTAAAAGAATATTTCAAGATATTAAAACTCTTATTTTATAAATAATTTTTTAATTTTATTATAATAAGATATAAATTTATTTTGATTTATTATAATAATTCTTTAAATATCTTAATATAATAAAGATTCTTAATAAAATAATTTGAATAAAAAGATTCATAATAGATATTTATAATTATAATATTAAAGAATTATATTAATTTATATTACAATTCTATCTTATAATCATAATATATCTATTTTTTATAATTAAAATTTTATATTCTTCTTTTTGTATTTTTTTTTAATTAATAATATATATAAGAAAATTGATTAATTATACTAAAAATTTTTCTTGATAATTCTATTTTTTAAGCTATAATAATAATAAGTAATATTTGTAATATATTTTTATATTGAAAACTACTTTTATAAGTAATTATTTTTATTCTTAATTTTAGTAATAATAAGATTAATAATATTCTTTAATATCTTATCTTGAGCTATAATAATATTTAAATATACTAGCAAGTAAATCTGATAAATTAAATTTATTACTTTATCAATTTAAGTATCAATTATGAGTACTTGAATTTTATATTCAATAAAATTTTTCAAATTAAAATAATCAATCTTATTATATATAATATTATTTATATATTTTACTATCAAGTTTTCTACTATATTATATTATTGATATTAGTATCAATATTAAAATGCGTAATTGAACTTTATAATTATAATTTTTATATTACTTTATACTTATTATAATATGTTTTATATTATATAATCAAATTATAATTAAATAAAAAAGAATCTGTTATGTTATATATTGATAGATTCTAAACAAGAGAAATGTAAAATTTAATCTAAGCTATAGATATGAATAGAATAATTTGGATTTTAGGTAAGTTATATATATTTCTTAATTAGTCTTGGTTTTCTAATTTCAGATGAGATATTTTCTAGTTAATAATAAAGTATATTATATTTTCATTATTATTTGATTTACAATATCACTTTTTAAACTCTGAATTAGAAGATTCTATTAAAATTTTAAAACAATTATCACAGTAGAGATTTCACAATCTAATATTTTTGAGAATAATTATACATAATTAAGAATACTCTTTATTTGTTCAAAGACTTGTTATATATATATATATATTTTTGATTTAATTGTAAGATTAATAATAATATATTTTTAAGTAATATGCAGATTCTTGTTTAATAAATAATTAAAAGTATTATAATAATAATGAAGAGAAACGGAAATAAATAATGGGTCTTTTCAATCTTAATGCTTCATTATTACGTAGACCACTAGGATCGGAGAAGCCGGAACCTATCGATGAAGTCACGTGACCAGAACTTTTGGTAGACTCATAAAAATGGGTTATTTGTTATCCGAATGCAGGAAATGAGGTGGATCCGGTTGCTAATGATTAATTGTGTAGGTGCAGATGAATATGCAAGGGAAATATGATAGTAAAGTAATACTGTAATTGCAAAATCACGCCGGAATTTATTGAAAAAATTAGAAATAAAATTTTAGTACAATCTAACATTTTGCCTTTGATGAATATATAATTATTGTTAATGAGATATTTAATCAAATGAATAAATTTACTACTGTATATTTAACATACATGTCTTTAACAATTACTATGCTATATTACATCGAACACAGAATATAAATATATAACTTCTACAAGTACATGAATAATATACAATTCAATTATCCTTACATCCAGATCCGTTTCGATATCCTGGGCCTGCTTTTGATTATGATTTGATGTTCTTGCATATTTTGTTGTTCTTCATCGTCATCCTCACTATCAGGTTTTTTTGTAGCATTTTTCTCGAGTCTGTTCGCCGCTTGAGCAACTTCCATCACTCTTTCAAATGTTCTATGAGTATTAAAGTTTGCGACAAAGTCATTCAGTAAGTCAATGTCCATTGCCGTTTTACCCGTAAGCCATTTAGGTTTAGCACTTGCTCTGCAATCGGTCTTTTTTTCGGATCGCAATTTAGTAGGTGGATAATGGCTTAATATTTATAAAAAAGAATAAGTGTCAGGATCATTCTTTGTTTAATATTTATGATGGTTGATTAAGTTTTGAATAGCGCAAAAGAGAAGAATATGTTGGATAATAATACCATCTGATGAAATGTTTCTCCAATAGTGATTGTGAAATTCTACGCGTAAGCCATTCTTTCCTTGGTTGTGGCAAATCGATCCTCATTACTAGGCGGTGCATAATCATATAATCTATATTCATTTGAGAAAATTAAATTGAAGATTTAATTCCATTCGCATATGTAATAATCCTATATAAATGAGGTCAATGCAATTTATTAACTTATGAAAATTATAAGAATTGCTAAAAAAAGGCTCATTTCAAATACCCGATACTCCAAAGATCCACAAATTTATTATATCCAACTCGATTTAAAATTTCTGGTGGTATTACAAGAATCATATGGATTAAATTACTATTATATTGATGATATACTAAGGTGATTGAGGTCGTAAAAAACAAGTAGTTAGAATATCATCGTCATCTTTCATGAATTTTCAGTTATAAACATTTAGCAAAAAATAATTTTAAATTCATTGATATTATAATTTGCTCCATTTATCAATACCCAGCACAAGAGTGGAATCAGGTGCTCGACTCTTATATAATAAATTCTCTGGTTTTAAATCTAATATTATAATAAATAATCTTTCAAAAGTGTAAATAACAATCAATCAAGAATTACACATAATAATTACCACGATGTGCGATAGAATTCGCGTGAAGATATGCGTAAGTACTGTTTTTATAACTTCTACAGCATCAGCTTCGGTAAATTTTCGCGATCACACATACGATCAAATAATTCACCACCTGTTGCGCTTTTTTAATTATAAGTAGATTATATACAAATACACGACCAATTAATGAAACATTCTTCCTCTTAATACTTTACATCACACTTTTGAATTATTTTTATGGCGCTGTTTTAATTACCACGGCTTCCTGAACTGGCCCATATGTTCCTGCGCCGAGTTTTTAGATTTTTTCAAGTCTAATGAATATTATTGATAAAGTTTCGTTTAGTCTCATTTCGTAATAGTTCAATGAAAGAGATTAAATCGCTAGTCAAATCACGTGGCAGTGGCTTAACACATTAATTGATCTAACCGGCTTGGATTTCTTGATACGCAATTCACAATTCATTTCCGTTACGCATTAATCTCGCGATTTGGTTGGTTTACACCCTTAAAAATCACAGGATCCGTAACATTTTTTTCACCATGGCTAGGATTTTATAATCATGCAACGGACCCCTTCTTTTATCATAACAACACGAAAAGTAGTACTAATCTTCTTGAGTAAGACATCGGTTCTAGAATTATTTTTTACTCCTAACGGCTCGTTGATTAATATTCTTTTCAAATTGAATCCCTTCTTTTATCGTAACAACATGAAAAGTAGTACTAATCTTCTTGTGTAGGACATCGGCCTAGGATTATTTTAATCCTAACGGCTCGTTGATTAGTATTCTTTTCAAATTTTCTATTTCTACATACATCTAACATCTTTTTGGAATTCCAACGTGGCGCGTTTATAAGCTGGGTATCATTTCTTTATTGAGATAATGGATATACACATCCCTACAATCTATTCCCAGAAGGAAAGTATTATTTTGAAATCTAATCTCTCAAAATGATACTTTTTGTTATTTTGGGAATATATCGTAGGCTGCGTATGAGAATTAAAGATGGAGAATTTAAACAATGTTCAAAGCATTGTTATTTTTTAATTAGAATTTAAACTATAACTATTTTGATAAAGCAAATATATCAACAACTTATTTGATTTGTGGTTCCATAATAATTTTGATTTTTTTATTCCAAAGATACCCCTTTTTTGGAGGAATATTATGTGGTTTTTATTGAGTTTCCACATTTATCGATTAAATTTTTAACAAAGATTTGTTGGTAAAGTTTCAGGGATATTTGATATAAATCCTTAATCGATTATCTTTGACATATGAGAGAAATCGTGATAACTTTTCTTAGTTATCGGTCCGAAGACTTATCAGACCTAAAATGAGAGTCCTTTGTTCTCTGATGAATCAATCAGTGATCATCGTGCTGCTTTGGTTATTTCGGCACAAAGGATAATTTTTATTCTAAATAACCACTCCGGCCTTGGATATCATGGGGTATATATAATTGGTCCGGAGAGTCCTCATATTATTTGATGGAATGAATCAATCCATCGTATTGCTTTGGTTATTTCGACACAAAGGATTTTTGGTTATAGGGTATTTATAACCATTAATTCCTAAATAACCATCTTTTTAAAAAAACCCAAATTTGGAACTAACTTCCTCGTGGTGCGATCTGGATATCATTCAATTGATAACTAATAAGTGCCAATATCTAAAACCCGAATAAGGAGCAATTCGTAAGAGTAAATACCTAAAGGTGTCATGTACTGTTGCATTTAGAAAGGAGAGAACTTAGGTGATGTCCAATATCCGATAATTACATCCCAAACAATTGTACATGTATTTTATTTGCTGCAAAAACGTTACCACCTTTTCCTTTTTAGGTTGAATGAATCAGATCCCGGGTGATTTATACGTTACAAATTTCAGTCTTATAAAACATGATTAATTACGTAATGACGCACATAGAATTTGAATCACTACATGTACATGGGTCCCGTAACTGTACAACGACAACGATTATCAAAGATGGAATCGAATACTAGTCATTGTAGTAAATGTTATAAATGTCAAAAGAATAGATACTGCGATAAATGTTTAGTACACAATACTCATGATTGCGATAAATGTACTACATGTCAAGGAAATTTTTACTTCTACCGCTGCGATGACTGTTTCGAATATCACAAGCGAATTTATAATGATGAATTGTCTAGTGGAGATAAAGATATCGACAATCTAATAAAAGAATGCAACAAGATCAATAAAAAAGAAAAAATATTTGAATGGATACCTTTTGAGAGATTTACCAACGTTAAACATCTTGCAAAAGGAGGCTTTGGAACTATTTATGAAGCAACCTGGTTGGATGGACCATTAAATAGCTATAAGTGGGATCATGAAGAAAATAAATTTGAACGAGAAGGCGAAAGAAAAGTTGTGTTGAAATCATTACACAATTCAAAGCAAATTACTTCAGAGTTTATGAATGAGGTAAAAAAATGAGGATTTTCTAAAGTGAAAGTTGTTTTTTGTTTCTAACACAATTAAATTTTTTAAAAATAGATCCAGGCTACTCTTAAATGCTATCGTGATAATTACGACGATATTATTGATTACGGAATGACTCAAAACCTAGTTACAAATGAATATTCGATAGTGATGGAATCACATGATTGTGGTAAATGTTGGGATTGTGCATTCAATTTGTTCTGCGTTGATTGTTTAAAATATCATAAACGAATGTATAATGGTGAATTCTTTAGCGGAGATAAAGATATCGACAATCTAATAAAAGAATGCAACAAAATCAATTATAAATATGAAAATATATTCGAATGGATTCCTTTTGAAAGATTTACCAACGTTGAATATCTTGCAAAAGTAGGTTTTACGTCAATTTATAAAGCAACTTGGTTGGATGGACCAGTGCGTCATTATCGTACGTACGATAATGAACTAGTATTATGGGATCATGATGAAAATAAATGGAAACGAAGAGGAGAAAGAAAAGTTGTGTTGAAATCATTACACAATTCAAAGCAAATTACACCAGAGTTTATACACGAGGTAAAAAATGAACACACTCTAAAATGTAAGTTGTTTTTTCTTCTGATAAAAACAAATTTTTCAAAAAATAGGTTCAAACTGGGCTTAAATGCTATGATTACGGCAGCTTGATAGCATATTATGGAATGACTAAAAATCCAGCAACAAACGAATATTTGATAGTAATGCATGCATTCTATGGTGAACTTCACAAATATAAAGTGAACTTAAAGATGGAATCAAATGCTCATCATTATTGTAGTGAATGTGACGATTGTCAAGATAATTTCTGCGATGAGTGTTTAGTTCATAATACTCATGATTGTAGTAAATGTAGTAAATGTCAAAAAAATGAGTACTGCGATAATTGTTTCAAATATCACAAACGAATTTATAAAGATGAATTGTCTAGTGGCGATAAAGGTATCGATAATCTGATAAAAGAATTCAACAAAATTAAATATAAAAACAAAAATATATTCGAATGGATTCCTTTTGAAAGATTTACCAACATTAAATATCTTGCAAAAGGAGGTTTTGGGACAATTTATAAAGCAACCTGGTTGGATGGACCAATAGATTATTATTCCAAGTGGGATCATGAAGAAAATAAATTTAAACGACAGGGTGAAAAAATGGAAATTGTGTTGAAAACATTCCACAATTCAAAAAAAAAATTACTCCAGAGTTTATGCACGAGGTAAAGAAAAACATTCTCTAAAGTGAAAGTTGCCATTTGGTTTTTAATACAATACAAATCTTTCAAATTAGATTAAGATTGCTCTTAAATGCGCTGTTTTTATTAATTATTATGGAATAACTAAAAATTCAGTCACAAATGAATATTCGATGGTGATGGAATATGCAAAAGATGGTGATCTCCGTAAATATATTAATTCCAACTATGTAAAATTGACTTGGAATCATAAATTAGATTATTTACATTATATTATCGGTAATATGAAAAAAATTCACGGTGAAGAATTTTTACATCGTGACTTTCATCCTGGAAATATATTAATGTTGAATCGTCCTCAAATTGCTGATTTTGGACTTAGCATTCCAACAAATATGGAAAAATCTAACCAAGTAATTTGTGGAGTGCTTCCTTATATGAGTCCAGAGGTGTTAAATGGAAAGTCATACACTTCAGCTGCAGATATTTATAGCTTTGGAATGGTTGTATACGAAATTGCAACTGGTGAGCGACCATTTGGTGAACAGAATCATGATATGCATCTAGTATTAGAAATCTATAAAGGAGTACGACCTAAGATACCAGATAATATTCCCGGATGGTGCAAATTTGTTATTAAGGAGTGTTGGGAACCTACTCCGGAAAACAGACCAACTGCTGAGGAACTTTATGACTTTATCCGCTCTATCGCAGATTACAATTGTGAGTTGGAACTGAATACTTTGCATTTTCTTTACTATGGCTCTTCAGAAAAGCCTAAAACAGAAGAAGAAA